CCTCCAAAAAAAATTTGGCGTCAATATTGGCGCTAAATGTTAATTTTATTGGCGACAAAAAAAATTGTCACCAAAATAATTTTTCGGTTGCAAATTTTTTGTTAAATAACAAAAAATAAGAAAACAAAAATATTAATACTTAGCAACAATACATGTTTGTCGCAGAAAAAAAAAAGTTAAAATTTTTTTTGTTTGGCGACAATTTATATTTGGTTGTAGAATATCACTATAAAAAAAATGTTTAACTGCGACGACTTTTTGTGATGTGTAAGAAAAAATATCGCAAAAAAAAAAAGACATTCTACGACAAATATTACGTTTCATTGCCAAAAAGTATTATAATGATCTTCAAAGATTGAAGCACTACTGTAAATTTATTTTGATTTGTTACAAGGACAATAGAGCCTGCTACAATGAAAAAAACAGAACCAATAATTAGTATTTTGTTAGCATACAAATTAAAGGCAAGACAAGAATTATTTTGTTATTAATACCTTCAAAAAATTGATTCAAAACCCGTTTTCCTCAAGGCTACCTCTATTCATAAACTCATTTTCTTCAACAACCATTAAATAAGACACCAACAATGAAATTCATATTGACTGAAACAAAATGAAACACAAGGTAAAAATATCCTTACAATATTTGATCTATGGATTCCAAAATCATTACACAACCAATCTCAAGTATATATCAAAGCTTCAACTGTCTCGGGCTTCAAGGAGCTTCAATATTGATCAAGAACTCCCCCTCCGACACTAAAAGCAGACTCCGAAGCAACTGAAGTAATGGAAATAGATAGTATGTCCCATACTATCTTTGACAGGTTTCTAAACTTAAGAGTGTTTGCTTTCCACCAATTCAATGCATCAAAATCCTCAGTGTCGTTTTCATCACGAATGTAAATGCCTTCTTCCAAATAAATTTCCAGCTCATACTTGTATGGTTGAACAATGTCCAACTGTTTGGCCCATAGATCAAATTCATTCACACACTTTGCATTTCACTTGACATTGCTAGTGCCACCAACATTTCTACTTTCATACGAAGTCTTTGGTTGTTGTACATCTTTAGACACATAATCCTTGCAGAGATCATACAAGGAATTACAAACAACATCTATATAATGCACTAATTCATCCAATGAATAAATTTTGGAAAAACAAAACTCAACAAGTCTCATTTTATATCTAGGATCTAGGACCGCTGCAATTGCCATCAACAAGTTACAATCTCCCCAAAACTTGTCAAACTTTTCACTCATTCTAGTAGTCATGTGTGCGACTCATGTAGTCCCTACTATCAAATTCATGCTCATTCAAAATCTTTCTAATTTTCCAAATTTCACAAAGAAATAAAGTTGAAGTTAGGTAAGAGAAACCCGATAATAGATATGTCGCATTATTAAAATATTTCTAAAACCTTGCATATCCCTTCAGCTCTTGACCAATCATCCCCAGTTGGCAACCCTCGATAGTTGTTATCTCTTTCTTTGTACCTTGGAAACACTTCTTTAAACACAAATGCAGATTCTAACATTTCATATATTGAGTTCCACCAAGTAGGCACATCAAGAATCAATCTCCTAGTTGTTGGCAATTACAATTGTTTTACAACATAATTGAATTTATCAAGTCTCAAAGGAGACATCTTCAAGTATTTCACACTCTCACGTATGTTTTCAATTACATCTCTTATCTCACCCAAGCCATCTTGTACCATTAGATTCAAAACATGTGCACAACACCGAACATGAAATATTCTACCATTGAAATAAAGCTTGCCTTTAACAGAAAAATTATCTTTCAAATTTCTCACTGCTACATCATTTGAGGATGCATTGTCTAGAGTAATGGTAGACACCTTATCCTCAATCCCCCAATCAGTTAGATACTTGTAAATACTATTAGCAATCACAAAACCTGTGTGTGGAGGTGCCAAGCAACAAAAAATCAAGATACGTTTTTGTAACTTCCAGTCTACATCCAAAAAGTGTGCGGTAAGGCACATGTACCTGATTGTTTGATTGGAGGTTCATAAGTCTGTCGTCAAGCTAATTCGGTCAACAGTAGAAAACATTCTCTTCAATTTCATTTTCTCATTCGCATATATTTTCAAGCAATCATTTTTTATGATAAGGCATTTAACTGGTTCAAAACGTGGGTTAAGAGATTTAAGAAGTATCACAAACAGTTCATGTTCAACCATCCTAAAAGGATACTCATGCACTATTATCATTTTTGCTAAAATTTCTCTTACCTTCTCCTTGTCAAACTTATGAACTGCCAACCCACCATTTACAGTTACAGACCCATCAAAAGTAGTTGACGAGAGAGCCAATAATTGTTCAGTGGGTCCTTTCTTTTGGCCAGAAACAAAAGCTTGATGAATTGAACAAGTCAATAAGTGCCTTTTTAGATGAGTTGTGGGAGCCCCTCGACCCAAAGAAAGACTTGTTTTACAATGGTTACACTTGGCCTTTCTTGTTCTATTTTCATATATTGTGTCCAAATCATCCCAAACTTTCGAGGTCTTCTTCCTGGATTTTTTTTTTTTAGTGGCTTATTTTCAGAAGGCCCTTCGATTGTTGCAACATCATTAACGATAGCTTCTTGATTTCCACCAACATTTACAGTACTAGGGGGCACAGAATTAGAAGCCATCTGACCGAAACAAAGATGAAATTAGAGATAAAATAGCATATGAAAATACCAAATCCCCCTATTAACAAAGTCAACACACACCAATTATATTCCAAATCTTCTTCTAAACATTTGATATGGAAGAAGCTAATGATAGACCAATCTATCAACTAACAAGGCTTGCATATGAGAAAACCACAAAATATATACACAGTAACACAACAGATGAAGGTGAAGTATACTTGAAAAATTGAAAATCTCGTAGTAGCAGACTGAGAAATATATACACAATAACACAACGGATGACTGTTTGTTCATTGCACAGATTCGCACAAAGTAATTCAGATGATGACAGGCATATTCGCACAAAGTAATTGTTCAAATGAGGTGCAGATTTGAGAGTTGTACCTGATCCACGAAGAATCACCAATCGCTTGAGAGTAATTGTTCAGATGTTTAGATTTGAGATGCACAAAGTAATTGTTCAGATGTTCAGATGAGATGCAGCACAAACAACACTAATCGCTTATGAGTCGGCGATGAGGACTAGACTGTTTGGGTGAGAGTGTGAAAATATCGCTTCGGGCTTGAGAGTCGACGATGAGTGGCACTGTGGCAGACGAGAGATGGACAAAGAATCACGAAGAATCACCGTGAGGACCAGACCTTTTGGGTTGTACTTGATCCTCACCTAATCTACGAAGAATAGACGATGAGTGGCACTGTGGCAAACGAGAGATGGAGTTGAGGGCTTCATCGCTTCGGGCTTGAGAGTTGTAAGTAGATGGTGCCTTCATATTGCTAGATTGGGGTTGGATTTATTAGGGTTAGACAAGTTAATATACATGTTGTCCTCACCATTGGATCTCAATAAAGGTTTGGAATGGACGACAATAATTGGACCACTAAAAATAATAGTAAAACTAGGTAAAAAATATCAAGCCATTCAAGTTGTTCGAATTCAAGCTCGAGCTCGACTCGTTTATAAACATGCCTAAAATTATGTTCATATTCAGCTTGTTTACAATATTCGAACGAGCCCCAAAACGAGTCGAACTCGAGCCGAGCTCAAGTAGCTCAGTTCGATTAATAGCCCTATCAGCAAGGTAATATCTCATTGCATAATCGTTTTCGTTGATTGAGAAATTGACTGGAGGAGCCTAACCTTCTGAAAGAAGAGCGAAAACAGAAGAACGTTCTAGTACGTTGATATCATTATGAGATACAAGTAACCCAAAAAAGACATGTCAAATCTAATGATCATATGAAGTTACCGCCTTCAAAATAATTATTGGTTCATGGGTGTGACCATAATACATATCTTTTTATGCTGTTGGACAATTATTCAATTTTCAATGCATACAATCAATGCTACCCAAACATCTCAGGAAACCCACCATTGGTACACATTGCTAATAATCTAGCAATGTCATCGTTGTTTGGTGACCTGAGGTATTCATCGGAAAAAATTGTTACTACCGCCCTCACAAATCTTTTCAAATTTTCTATTGCGATGTTTTCGTCAATCCTCACATAATCATCAACATCTGCTGCAACTCCATAAGCAAGCATCCTTATGGCAACTATCATCTTTTGAAGGGAAGATAAACCAGTAATTCTAGCAGCATCTTTTTTTTGGGACAAAATATGGATCATAATCTTCCACCATGGATAGAATACGAAGGAAAAAGGGCTCTATTCGAAACCTTCTTCGAAATAAATTTGGGGAATAGATACAGTCTTTCATGCCCTTGAACTCGATTATGAAAAATAACTAAATGACCTTGAATGGAACCACAACATACACTAGAGCTTCCTTCGCTAAGTTTGTTCATTTCCATAGCACAAATTGTTACTATCTCCAATTCATTATTAGAGTCAGAATCGTTAAAAATCATCTTCATTGCAGGATGTCGAGTCATAACATAAATACAAAGAAGAGTGCAATACCAATAAATAGATTTGAGGTGTATGATAATGAGAGATGAAAGATCTTATTTATACATATTTAAAAATATGACCGTCGAAAAATTCAAATTTTAAAATTTTGAATTTCGTGACCGTCGTAAATATGACTGTTATTAATAAAAATCAAAAATTTAAACTTTTGGTGATGTGACATAAGACGTAAGCATGTGATGTCATCAATATGGTGATGACTATATAATATTTTAAATTTTAATAATTAATAGTTAATTAAAGTGGTTAGTTAAAATATATATCGTGGTTAGAATAAATTTTAAAAAATAATTAATTAAAATAAATAATACAATATTTAAATATATTTTAAAGAATTATTTTAGATTGAGTTTATATGTCCCATGGGCTTCCTCCACTCCTGAACCATCTCGAAAACACATGGCTTTGAAATCTGCAAAGATGTATAAGAGACACCCATTTGATGGTAGAACCCATTTGATTTCCTGTTTTTGTTGTTTTATTTTTCTCTATTCTTCTCGCTTTCCAGTTCTGAAACCAACCTGTGAATTGGGATTTTAGAGTTTCGGGATAGGGTTCCGAGCTCGCTGAGGAGTAATAGAAGAGTGATGGGGAAGCCAGTCAAGTTTCCAGGTGTTAACGAGGAGTTGCAGAAGGTATTGGATGCTAATATGGACCAAGTGGATGCGAGGCGTCGTGCTCGTGAGGCGTTCAAGAATATTCAGCTTTCAATTGATCATTGCTTGTTTAAGGTTTTGCCTCGGTGTTTATTGGATTGATATTCAGAAAGTTATGTTTTTTTTTTCGGTCCAAAGATTGGTTTTTATTTCATTTGATTTAGTTTTTATGCATGTTTTCTTGCTTAAAATGTACTCACAGCTTAATTTCAATTGACATCGATTATTTGTGATGGGCTTTGTTTAGAATGAGAAATGAATGAGTGATGGTTGGCTTCTGAAATTACTTGATTTTATGATCTTTACATTGTTCGACCACGAAGGTAATGACTTTGTGCAAATAATGTCACACATTCAATTTGTACATCATCTACCCCTCCCAGACCCTAGTAATTAGACTGAACTTGTTGTTATACTAATTCTCATTTCTTTATGTGTCCAAAAAAGAAGAAAGGCAAAAGTTCGTTTGATTTAAAGTTATTTTTTTGTTTCCATTTGTTTTCCATATCTTCTTGCTTTTGAGTCATTTTCAGAAGTCAGTTTTGATGAGGAATTGGTTGTTGGTAGTGGGGTTTGTTTACCTGATAGAATATTACAACTTGATTCCTGTTGAGGAGTCAAGCTGTCAGGAGTGCTGTACTTGGACATGTGGAAGATTCGACCACCTCCCCCCCCCCCCCCC